AGAGAGAGAGAGAGAGAGGAAATAAAATAAAACATATTTAGCTCATTTGGCTCTCAATTTCCTACATAATGGATAGGAAACAGGAAAGTAGAAAAGATGAAACAACAACTCTTATTTGATCATTCGTTTAGTGACATAATAAAGAGAGAGAAAATGAAAGAATGTGAGAATAAGCAGCAAAACTTAACAACTCAATGGATTATTCATTCTGCAAAGTGGAATTCCATCAAAGGAAATGAAAACAAGATGAAGAAATTAAATATCTCAGTTTATTTGGTCATTCAAATTGTTGTTTACCTGCCCCTTAGTTGCACCATAGTTTGACATTGCAATTTGTGTTGTGTCATAGGTTATGTCTCCTTTCTTTTCTTTTTTGAGAGGTTTGAGGATGTTTTTCAAATCTCATTTCCAAAAATGTTAATAAAAAAATAATTCACTGAATTTGTTTGATAAGACAGCAAATGTAAATGAGAGATGAAAAGATACAAGAACTGAAAATAAACTCGACTCTTTTTGCATAGAGCTTAGAAAAAATGAAAACATGAAGAGAAGATTGACACAAGGAATGGAAGAACTTCAATGTCTTTTAACAGACATACAATAAAAAACCTTACTCATTCCACTATCCCCATCAGCTCAACTGGAGAGAGAGGCTAAACCAGTATCTCATTCATAGAGATTACTCTGGTTACCAGATATTTATAGATCTACAATTCTTGTTGTTTAGGAAACAAATCTCACTATAATAGTAATCCCACAAAATAGAAATCTCAATATAATAAACATTATTTTTGTAATATCTTGTAATATACAAGATATAAAACAAACTAATTTTCTACATATTATTTTTGTTTGCATATCATTATAAGTACAGGTTTCCTATAGCTAATTTTAGGCATTTGTCTGAAGCTTTTCTCCCTTTACTAAGAAGGGGTTTGAGCAGCCTTGTTAGAGACCTCATCGATATCCAAGACATATTTCCTGTTGTTTTATCAAAACTTTCTTTTTTTTTAGTGTCTTGGTTAAAAGCCCCACAGGCGAGCTTCACAAAAATATCAAATATCGGCATAGGTTTTTTTTTTTTCTTTTTTGGGAAAACCCCATAGATGTGCTTCACTCATTTTATGGGTTGCGAAAATGGTAAAAGTTTGGGAAGGGATACAAAGATGAATCGCCTGTGACTACTATTAAACCATCACTTGGTTATGTATGGCAGGTTTCGTTTGCTTTAAGTTTCCTGCTCATGACGCTTCTTTCTCTCACTACTTTTTTCTTTTTTCCCTTCCACAGGTGTTTCTCTCATTGTTTAACTCTCAAATATTCTTTTGATGTGAAAGGAACCTGAACCTTGAAAAAGAAATTCTCAAAGCAAACATACTGCTACAGTTTTGGCCTTGCTATTACAGACAACTGCATTTAGAATTTTTAGGAATTTTTACCCTTTAAAAAGGAAAATACTGGTTTCTCTTACTAGATCACACGATAGCCCATTCGTAGAGCAAAAGGGCCTGTGAAGCTTAGGGAATCAAGGATGGTCTTAGGGTTCCTAATAGTTGAGTTGCACCATTTATTTATAACAACATCTTTTTGTCCACATATTAATGGATATCGATCTGACGAGTGCAATCTCTCTCAAGTTTTGGAGTAAGGTTTTAACAAACAAAACACTTCTCTGCACAGAATTCACTATGAGAGAGAAACCCTAAAAACTTCTACTGAAAAAGGAAAACAGCAAACTCCCGGGTAGGAAGAGAGAGAGATAGTTTACCTAGTCTGTGAAGAAGATCCTCGGATCACAAAAACTGAAATTATTTGTTTGTTTTTCTTTGGTATTTCTCAGGAATTCTTCAGAGACTTGTGTTTGATATCATCAATTAGGGGCTCTGGCCATGCTTAGTACCAAATCTCTCATATCTTTGGCTAAAATAAGAGAGAGAGGGTGGCAATCAAGAGAGAGAAAGAGCTAGAATAAGAGAGAGAGAGGGGGGAAGAAGATGGTGGCAATCAAGAGAGAGAGAGAAGAAGATTGTTACGGAAGCTATTGGAGAAGATAGCCTCAAATGTAGGAGGGAGGAGAAGAGGGGGTCCTTCAGGAAGAGATAGAAAAGATGAAGAGGCCAAGAGCATTTGATGAATTAGAAAGAATTGAGAGATAAAGACAAAAGAATAATAAATACACCAAAAAGGACTGTGACACTGCACTTAGCTCAGCAGAGGAGAGAGAGAATAGGGGGTAGAGAGAGAAAGAGGGGTTTAACCATGGACATCTTGTATAAGCAGCTTTCACCCAATAGCGAGTGAGAAAAGGACATGACAAAGTATAATCAGCTTTTACCCAAATGTAGAAAGTAAATAAACCAAATTCCCTTTCAAAAGTATCCATGATTTTTGGTGAACGAGTGAGGTCACACAAATTAATAAGATGGAGGGACAAAGTATCACTATCTCCTCATTCTGCTCCTCGCTCTCCAAATAAAGAGGTGTTGGTGTTTGGGGGCATTTATTATGTATCTAAACACGCATCCAAGGGAGGGAGCCGAGATTCTCAGGTTGAATTTACTGTCATCCTAGTACTTCGTCCACCGTGTGAGATGATATTTACGGAAAAAATCAAAAATAAATTTAGGTGTATATCATCTTATTTAGAAAATGAAAAAAAAACAAAAAAGTTAGGTGTAATGAAAGGCCCTCCAATCTCAACCTCGAGATATCTAGTTGTTAAATAAAAAAAGTAAAAAGGATTTTCAGTCTTAAAAATATTACTTCTTGTATTGTATTAGGTGCACCGTCCACTTTCAAGATTTTCAAATTTTTCCAGATTAGCTAGACCAATTCTTTTTTAAAAAAAAATTTAAAATTTCATAAAAAGAGACAAAAATAAATTTTTAGATCATCACAGGGATTTTTGAAACAAACAATATATTTTGGCAACATTTAGATATGTGCCTTAATTTGATTTTTAAAGCATCAACCTTATACAAACCTCATCCGAAGATAAAATCTTCCATCAAAGTTTGATATCATGCATATTCGAACATATTTTATTTGGCTTCATTTATTTTTCTTGAATCACGCTTATTTCCGATCTTGAAGATCTGAAATTATTTTCTAAGTAAGCCTATCTCGGTTCTTGAAGGAAGGTTCAAAATATTCGCCCTTGTCTTTTTTTTTTTTCCCAAACACTTGGACCTTCACAATTTGGGACTTTGAAGGCCTCAAAGTGGAAAAGAAAGAACTAGGTTCTAAGTTTTGAGCTTACATCTTTCGAAGTTAGAAATAGAAGCAATTTGATAAAAACGTTTTTTTGAAAAATCCAGACGATTTGGGATAAATGAGTAAAACCTAAAGAATACGTATTAAAAAGGGATTTTTTAAACAACAATAAAAATTACAAATTATTTATGACCCTTGTATGGGGGAGAGGGAGAGAAATAAAGATTTCTCCAAAAAGGCTAATGCATGGGGAAGGGGCTAAGGTCGTGGTGGTAGCACCCTGCACATTATTCACCACATCGTGGTTTTCATTTCCATCACTAATACCACCATGCTAATACCTTCAAAAAGGGTAGGGGCATGTCTTCTTAAAAAATGGGTAGGGGCCTGTCTTATTAAAAAACGGGTAGAGGCCTGTCTTCCCTACTAAATTGCTCAAAAAAAAAAAAGGCTAGAGCATTTTGACTGGGTTAGTGAGAGAGATAGATTGCCCCAATTTAGAGATAAAAAGAGAGAGATTGCTCTTGTTTGTCTTCCCCAGAGGGCCGAACGTTTTGGTGGGATTAGTGTAATAACCCCCTTTATAACATTTGTATCCCAATAGCGACCCAACATTCTTCACATAAAACCAAATATTATTTTGTAACTACTTTAATCTCTTTTAGAACTCCACCAGATTGTATGACTTACATAGGATTATTCACTTTTGTTACAAGGAGGTTAAAATTACCCTTGTCATTTAGATTTCAGAATGGGTGCTAGTAAGAGTGTTATTGACTAGATCAAAGTTCAAAATAAATAAATAAATAAATTCTCAAACTTCGTAACACAACCTATGCCATCTAATTTGACATCTAATAGCTAGGAGTAATTGTCGCATGCTTATAGCAAAGATTAATGAACTCATAGTAATTGTCGCATGCTTATATTACAAATTAAATACGAAGTAATAATGTACTCTTACAAATACTATTCAAATTAGTTTGGGGCCCAGTTAGTCTTAGCAAGAGTACAGTTAGTCTTATCAAGAATAAACTATCTTATCCAAAAGAAAAAAATTTATATAAAGTCGAGGCTTTAAAAGTCAATTTAGGGTCCCCCTCCAAAAATCACTGAAACAAGTTGTTGAGCCAAAAAATCCTCTAATTGATCATCTCGACCTCAAGATATCTGGACATGAGAAACAATGGGTTTCAATTCTTAGAAACGGTGCATCTTGTAATGTATTTTCAGGCTGTCACTTTTCAAGGATTTCAAGTGTTCATAGATCTACTCGATTTACACTGCATTTAAAGTTTTAAATTTTATAATTAGATATGAAAATAAATTTTCAGGTCTTCACAAAGATTTTGAGTACTAAAACAATTTCTCCCAACACTAGTTGAAGGTGCGCTTTACTTTGATTATTTAGAGCCTCGACCCGTATCCAAAATCGATGTACTTTTCCTAACATTATTTTGTTAGTTATTTGATATGTGTTATATGATATATAATATAATTACTATTTGACATTTTCTACATTTTCAGCTATTTTTAGTTATTTACAGCTAAGAATATAATGAGTTTTAGCAAATTACTTAAAAAAATAAACCATATTTTGAAAAAGATAAACTTATATATAAAATTGCCTAAAAATGTATTTTAGATAATTTTATAATGATATTACCAAATAAAGGACAGCTCATTATCATGAATAATTTTATTGAAACAATGAACAATCAATGATAGCAAGTATATCAGAAAGAGCCATCGACGTGTACTTTATTTTGCATTATTTTTCTTTGTATATTGCTTTTGAGTTTACCACTACAATTCTTGAGGTCACACTAGGCATATAATGGGATTGTATACTGTGAGATCATTTACTATTGTTACAAAGAGGTCACAATCAGTCCTAGCTATTCAATGTCAAATTGAATGGCTAATTTTAGAAATTCTTTGAAACATTTGAGACTATACTCATGCACTTACAAATCACCTGCTTGAAAATCTAACAGATAGAAATGATTGTGACCTCCTTATACTAAATATAAATATATTTTCCCTAATATAAATATATTTTCCCTATTGTTATCATGAGAAGGCGGTTCTGAACAGTATTGGATGCCACAAATATTTTTGTGAAATTTAGGGGCATCTTGGCCTAGAGCATGCTAGATCTCATGTCCCCATCATTTCAACATAAAAAAGTTACATGACAACTTAACATGATTCATCAGACATATACTAAATACATCCAATGCTCTCTATTCTAGAATTCTCTCTATTCTAGGGCTGTAAAATTATGAGCTATATTTTCCTTTTATTTTTAATGAAAATATGGTAAGGGTATTCCCCACTTACTTGCCCAAATATATATGTATATACCCAATGTGTATATATGTATATACCCATCTGATTGATGCTAAACAACATTGTAAAAACATTATTCCAAGTTGAGGTTTAGAGACCAAGAAATCATTTAGCCTTCGGCAAAATAATTCATGTCAGGAATAAGTTTGGAAATTTCTTTTTCCAAATTCATCACTCTTTTTATTTTCATTTCTCTTGCTCTCTGTTCATAAGAACCTGCCACACTTGCCATTGCATAAAGTTGGCTCCATTTTAAAAATGTAAAGAATACGGATCTCGGAGTATCTGATTTCAATTTTCACTTCCCTCTCTGATCTTTATGATAACAAGTACGCAAGATTACCACAATGTATAGGAGCAAAAGTTACTATTCCTTACATTTATTCAATTACAATATTTATTTTTTTAAAACAGTTAATATGATTCTTTTCAAAAAATTAAGACTCCACTTCCTTTCCATTCATCCTCTAATAATCATACCACTGGGGACGAATAAAGAAATAACTAAGCCAAAAGATCTCATAATTCTGAGGGAGCATACTGTCAATTTACTCATATCTAGAAGTACTTTTACGACCCCAGATTTTGGGATCTACCCATATTCTATATTCAATTATTAAAATAATAATAATAATAATAATGATAAAAACTTTATTCTTTAAAAAGTCTTCCCAAATTAGTCTTATGCTCAAGGGAGTAGGCGTACAATAAGCTCCCTTGGGAACATAGTATATGCACTCATCAATCAAGAACTTAACATTTTACTCTTTTATAACTGTTTGAAGTCATGATCATGTATATTCCGATTGATATTTCGCAAATGAACTAAAATAAATAACTACGATGTTAAATGGTTCATTTTTTAGACACATTTTTGGTAAATCTCATTTTTATTCAACTTTAAATTATCATTAGTTGGAATAGTTGCAAATTGATAAAATATTAAATAGTTAATTTCGTTTAGATATTTCAAGTTATTATTATTATTATTATTATTATTATTATTATTATTGTTATTGTTATTGTTATTGTAATAGCCTACACATATCACAGTGGCAATGATAAGGCTAAAACACGAAAATAATTGTGAAAAAGTATTTTTAATGGTTTTCTTCTTAGCCTTACCCAAAACCCACAAGGGAAAACAGACACGAGTCGAGGAAATATTAGAGAACATGAGAATTTTCTAAATTATTCAAATTTAAGGGCCGTTTGGATACCTAGAAATATATTCTATGTGAAATATATTACTGGCGTAATACATTACTTGCAAATAGATTGTTACTATTTGGAAATACATTGCTACTGTTTGGCTACTTCTGGAAGGAATATGGGAAATGCATTACCAACATTTTACCAGCACTTGCCTATAAACTATCATTTCTTTCTTTTTTGTCACAAATTTCCAATGAAATGCGAAATTAAGGTCATCATTACACACCATTCCAAAAGATTTTTTAATAATAACTTGTACTATTCTAAAGTCATCATCACACCATTTATTTTGCATGTCTTTGACACTTATAAGGAATCACATGTCATCTTATT